TTATCAGGGACAGTGAGACAGACCTAGAAGGAGACAAGTCAAATGACCTGCCTCGCCCCTCCAGCACCAAGAGTCTGTCATTATTAGCCTGGTGGACAGATAGGCATTAATGATATGAGTTAAGTGTGCTCCATCCAATCTATAAGAATTAAGTGGAAACAGAAACAGAAGCTTATGCGATCAGAATCTTTTCTCAGATTGGACAGAGATGTTCCACTTTATCATGATATTTAAAAGCAGTCTAAAACACTTGTTCTTATTTTTCAACAAAGGATATATAAGTATGCTTAATAAAAAATATCCTTAATAGAGATTTTTAAACACAACAAAACTTTTCCCTTAAAGCTAGGTCCACAGGCCCTCTTCCTATCCTAGATGGACCAGATTCCACAACTGAAGCCTAAATAAAGCCTGATATTGGAGAAAGATAATGGGGGAAGAAGGCAAGAAGAGTGAGCCTCCCACTAATATGGTGAGGGAAGAGACTGAGGAGACCCAAACCAAATTAGCATAAAGAGCCCCAAGGACTCAACAGTAGGGATATCTGTTTTGCCACCATGCAAAATGTGGCAAACTAGTTTTAACTAATTCCAGAGGCAGGAATCAGGTACTTAGGAAAGATATGGGAGCAACTAAAACTTCTTCTAGCACTCACTGTCTTTATTCTAAGAGTAAAAGCCCTCTAGAAAGAGAAACTCAACAAGATAGAGATGATCTCAGGAAGCAGCCAACTAGGAACATCCTCTTCCCACGCTTTCCACACTCTCCCGCAAAAGAACACCCCATACAAAGAGCAAGACAGCAAACGCCCAGCTGGCAGTTCCAGAGCCCTCTGTAGCAGCTTAGCTGCGGCATGTACAAAAAGAGGGGACTGCGGACAACTCAGTTGGACTACATGATTAGTCAAGAGGGCTTCAATGGTATTACTAAACATCTTCTCTTTGGGTTAAGAAACTAAAAATACGATCTTTCAACAGCTGAAGCAACATGAGGCAAACAGCATGTTCAAAGAAAGAACTGATTGGGATTCTGAAGTCTGTGGTTTTAGACCAGCAGCAGAAAGAGCACAAGAAAAGAGAAAGCACTTAAGAGAACAAATACACACACTTACAGAAATATGGTCTAAAATCATATACCAGTTGGACACTAACAGCTCCAATGTCCAGAAGCTCATTCTGCTGTTTCATTATGATGGATGCTGGTGAAGCCCACCTGTGTTACTCTTAATTGTCTAGAAACCTACCTTTAAAGTTAATTACAGTCTTACAGAATATATATTTTCATTCAGTGGGGGGTATAAATTTTTAAAAGTACAAAAACAAAGGAAACAAATGACATGTCCAACACTAAAGGAGTAGTTTAGTAAATATGATGCACCAATATAATGGAATATCATGCAGCCATGAAAATATTTATAAGAATATATATATTCATGATATAATATTAAATAAAATGCAAAAGGCAAAGTTATGTGTATACTATGATTGCAACTATTTTTAAAATGCACCCATGAGGATTAATATAGAAGATAAAATACCAAAAAATAATTATTTTGTTAAGACAGTGGGATATTGGGAATTTCTTCTTCAATAACCCAGATCTAGATACTCTTCAAATGTGTTTACATTAACTCTCTTTTTGCGAGCAATATTTTAGTCAAAATTTAAAATCAGGCTCAAAGTAATTGTATAGAATCATGGAATTTTAGACTTGAGAGAAACCTTAGTGATCAGATACCCTTCATATCTTACAGTTGAGGAAACTAAGGGCTCATGACGATTCGGGGTGGCTGCTAGGAGCAGGGCACGGGCACAGCTAATTTATGCTACTGCCCTTCTTTATTATAGCTGCAAGTGTGAAAGACCAGAAGGTGCTGGGAATCCACTCTGTTTAGACTCGGAAGCTTCATGTTCTAAAGGTCAAGCTACTGGAATGTTTTACAGCTATGCATTCCAGTCTAAACATGTCTCTTAGTTGATATGGTTCTGTGTTATTACATCTTTAACAATAGGTTTCTGAACTCCTCATACCTAACTGAAGTGAAATGTTTCATATGGCAAATGCCACAGAAATTAGTGCCAACCACTGAAGGACAGGTTAGTGCCTCAGGGAATCCAAAGGAACTATTCTTTCTGCACCTCTGGATTCCCCAGATGGAGCCAGCCTCTCACACCCTCTCCTTCTACACAAGCTCTGGGCATTAGGCGACCTGCAGAGTTGGCATTTCTAAACATATGGACTGGAAGTAAATACTGACCCATATGAAATCATAACGAAATGAGCACCATTCTCTGACATATATTTTCCCTGCCCCTCCTCCCCAATAGTCTGAAATTAAACATCAGAAAGTAGACACAACAATCTTTACAGGATGGGGGAGAGTGGCGAGAAAGTTGAATTCCAAGTGGAAAAAAAAATGAGGCTAATCCAAATTGCCCTGCTCCTCTTGGGGACGGAGGGTGAGGAAGAGGAAAAAAGTTGGAAAGAAGACAAGAAAACACCAGAAACAGCAATAACACAAGCTGCCATTAAAATTTATGGGTATAATTGAAAACAATTATATCAAAGCTCTAAAATCATATACCCATTAACTTTGTGCACAAAGAAAGTACAAAGAAACAAAAAATGAACTCACATAAATACATTTAAGTTGACGTTACAGTGAAATGCCTCTCCCAAATCCCACAATTACTTCAGTCTCCAGGGAAAGGTTGGAGAAGTCAGAGTGCTCAGAGATGAAGGGGCTGCATCCTTTAAGAGGATAACAACGCAATGCTAAGTCACAGGAGATCACAGGAGAAAGGAAAAACAACTGAAAGCGCTTGAAGATCAAAAGCAGCTCGAATCCTTTGAGCATCATGCTGTAAAAGGGAGGTGAGATCCAGACAGAGTCAGAAAAAGTGATGCAAAAACCAAGGACAACTAAGGACAGCATGGGGTCTATGAATCAGAGACTGGTGGCTCCTGCGGGGTGCAGAGGAAAAAGATCTGGCAGGAAGCAAGACATATGTTACTGGAAGCTAAAGCCAGGCTTCAGAAAGATATGGGGCTGTGAGGGGAATCGGGCCCAGCATCTATGCCCCAGCTTTTCGGGAAGAGAGAAGCTGCTATCTAGGCAGTGACAGCACATTTTACCTAGACAGACGTAGTTTTTCTGGAGGAACTACTCTGAAACAAAGCCAGTTATGTGAACCAGCCCCATCCTTTCTCCCAACACCTTTGGATCCAAGAATTAGAGCCCTGAGAGTTGATATTATGAACACCTGCATGTGGAATCCATCTCCTCAAAACTCAGAGCTAATCCATCCACAGAAGAAACATATACATCTGAATCAAAGCATCAAGAGTTGCTGGCAGAAGACAGGAGCAAAATCTAGAGTCCAAGCATCTTATCAGCATATATTAAGGAAATTTACTGGAAAAGCAAGATGTGTCACCTTCCTTCCTTTGCAGCAGCTCTGGGGCTGCAGTGACCTATAGACAGACTTGGGCCCTGAATTAGCTGCTAGTGGGCTAGTTCTACAGTCTGAAATAGAAGAGGACCGAAGGTCTCCCAAATAAAGGCTACGACCACGAAGTCAGATTCTTGGTTGCCAACAGCTATCTGGGGCTGGAAAAATCAAGGTGTCCACTCTCTGCCCAACTCCTACCCAGAACCAACCAGCAACAAATCCTCAGAAGAAGTGCTGTCCAAAATTAAATCAGAAAGTCATGGAAAGGCCTTTAGTTCCATAGCTCCAGTGAGTTCTTTCCACACAGAAATCTAGGATGTTAAGGTTCCACCCACTCACTATCTTTGAAGTAACATAAGAAAGAACTGCAGGTGGCCTGAGGAGGTCCATTCCGGGAGAAGCACTAGTCTGTTCCCTGAGGACTCCATTCTGGGATAGACACTAGCCTGCTCCCAACATTTTGCTTGGGTGGCTAAAAAGGGTGGATAGTCTCTTGCCTGCCCTTCTCTTGTTAATGGCCAACCAATAAAATCATTTGATTTCCCATTCTGAGTGAAAACCAGACAACATTCATATATTTCGTCCCTAAACACTCAATTCTGGTTCAATTAAAAAATTATAGAGACTATATTTATTCCGAAGACAGATGAATAATAAAAAAATTTCTAGAGAAGTCTCAATCTAATAAGCAAGATGTCTTATCCCAAAAGAATAAAATTTTTAAAAATAAAATAAAAATCCAAACATTGCCAAAAAAAGGAGTATATGATTCAAGCATTTCAATTTGGAAAGCAATTACAAATCTCACAGTAATTTAGACAGTATAGATCAATTCATTTGGGGTTCTCTATTTTATCAATCCACATAATCTGAGGAAAATAGGAATTTATGTTTATGTTTTAAATTTATGCCAGTTTCAACCAACAACAAATACACTGACATCTTGTCTCTCAATTCATACCCCTAGGTGTGTGGTTCAGGGAAGAAAAATTAAACACAAAGTAATAAATCAAACATCTGGTTAATCAACAGAAAACTTTCTAAGAAACATGTTTATGTAGACTGACATCCAAAAATGTCTAGAACTAGAGTAACATGCAGCCTCAAAATGAAATCTAAAGAATAGACTGTCAAATGGCAAAAATGATTATTTTTAAAAACCAATAAACATGTACCCCTATCGAAGTAACCTATACTCCGTGAGAACAAGGGTAAATGGCTCTCTTTTAGGCTTTTACCATATTTTATATGGAATAATAATTATATGTCTTTACTATGACTTTCGACCACCTCTATAGCATTTCATACCATACCAAAAAATAAATGACGGTCCCATTCCCGTGTCCTTTAGAGTACATATGTCATCAACTCACTTCATCACCTGGACATGCCTCAACTCTGAAACAGACAGCATGTCAAGTTTCCTGTTCACTCAGCGCTGGCAATTTCACTACAACTCAAACTCTCCCTCATGAAAGCCCTGAGGAGGACTGGGAGCCCTTCGGGAAAAAACAAACAAAGGCAATAATTCTCTTGTGTTCTACTCACACGTCAGGCAGACCAGCAGGGTGCGCACGAACAGGTCCACCACCAGCTCCCAATGCTCGGGCACACGCGACACAAAGAAGGGGATGATGATCTCAGCTGGAACGTAGAACTGGAGGGCGTAGGTGAAGAAGATGCCGATGGAGTAGAGCAGCTTCACCGACTGGTACAGCCTGCAGAAGTAGCCCAGATATGTTCAAAAGTCTGCTGTGCACGCTCATATACTAGCAGGGAGAGTGCAAAATGGACCCCTTGCAGTTTGGCCATATCTATCCAAGTTACAAATGTCCTTTGGACCTAGCAACTTCATGTCTAGCAATTTATCTTGCAGATATACTAGTACGTGTACACAAAAACTTATATTCAAAATATGTCGTTGCAGCATTATTTAAGTACAAAAGACTGAAAAGAGTTTAAATATTAATCAGTAGGGAACTGGTTAAATAAATCCCCATACAGCAGTTAAAAAGCATGGGGCAGAACTCCGAGAGATGACATGGAATTAGCTTTATGATATACTATTAACTGAAAAAAAGCATGAAGCAGTATAGTGTCTACAGTGTGCTACAATTTGTCTAAAAAAGAAAAAACTTCCCCCTCGCACATATATATGTGACATTCTTAAATACACTAAACATCTCCAGAAGGAAACAGAAGAAACTAGTTAATATGGTTGCCTCTGAAATGGAAAATGTAGAACTGGGGACCAGGGGAGGTGAGTGGAAACTTAACATTTTCTGTATATCCTTTGAACATCTGGAATATGTACCAAGGACATATATATCCTTTCAAAAATAAAAACAATTAAAAATACAATTGAAATGTAACAAGACCCTCGTACATCCTTCCCAGACAACTCAGAGCTCCCCGGAATCAGATGATGACCACGCAGGACCAACAGGCAGAAACAGAATCCAGAATCCTACAGCCATCTTCCTACCACCACTTCATGTGCAGCTTCTCAGGGAGACTATTAACTCACCACAGGATATCTCTATCTTATCCCATGCCTAGGAATGTGCAGAGTAGGAAAAGAGTCTTTGAAGTACATATGCATCAGACATGGTCATTAAAGGGAAGGCCACCTTGCACCTAAGCAAAGCTCCACGCCAAACAAGACCCTCAAGTGTTAAGCAGCAAAAAACACTCGCCTCCCTCCCTTGTTGGAAATTTATTTAAAAGTCGTGATTATATTGTGTATAATGTGCACTGAATTTCTATGTGGTGAACTTAATACCTACAAGTTGTTCTTATGCTATAAGCAGGAGAACATCCTGGGAGAGACTGAGTTTGGCAAAAGGTCTTACTTGCTCCAAGAATAGATGATAAAAACTCTTTGGAAAAATCAGCTGGTGGCTCTATAATTAAACTCAGTACAGCAGCAAAGCCTTCTGGAATGATGGGAAGTCTCAAATCAAGACAGTTACCTACAGAGTTGGCCAAATGAATCACACCCAAATGGAGAAAGATTAGAGCAGCTGGGTTTGGAATATCAGAGGAAAGAAGACAGATGTTCATCTATGGCTTCAGATTATGTGTGCTGCTTCTGCTGCTCCTGATCTGTTTTTCTTGTTATGCTAAGCTACCCACCTGGCTCTTGATAGGGCACAAATATTTAGAAATTTAAAAGCAAGCATCAGAGAGAAAGAGAAAGAGACTTTCTGAAAACAATGGCCTATTTCAGGGCTACCACTTGAATGGCCATATAACAAACTTAGTCCCCAGATCCCTGCTGAGTAGAGTGTCCTGGGCTAAACACTGACAACATTACTGAATAAACATTTTTCTAAATTTTCTGTTTGTCCTTGCACAATGCCGCACCCAATGAGAGCTCTGAAAAACACATACAGGCAGATCAACCAGGCTGTCCTGAAAGGTGATTCTGATCCCCAGGGCACTCAGCAAGTGTCTCAATGTCTAGCCACAGCTGTTCTTCACATGAAATTTTAATCTTCAAAACATAATTGTTGCTTAGGACACATCCTGTGACATCTACCTTTTAAGGAAGCATT